TATATATATATATGATGGAGTTTGAGGCTCTAAAATTTTCCTTTGAAATGCACTTTCTTTACCTTTTTTCAAAACATCTGTATTAGCAAGATGATCACTACTAATTCAACAGTGGTATTAAATGTCAATTCAGTGTAGGACCATTATAGCAGAACTGTTAACCTTTATTTTTGCTTAAGAAGCTGATTTATGTTTGGAAGGATTTTATGAATTACACATGACACGTTTCATTGAGGAAATGTTTCCTATCAGTTGTGACTGCAGTTGTTTTGGGTTAGGTGTTTCAAGATTGTCTGAAATGTCAACCAGTTCCACCACCACCATTTACCATTTTACATGACTGTGCCTTTTCTGAACAGTCAGCAGCAACCAATGTTTCATTCTGATTTAAATTTGATTTGAAACCCAATGATAAAATCCCTTCTCAGGAAAAAAGATCAAATGTGAAACTAGACAAAATCCGGCAGTGCATGTCCATAAAAGACCAACGGCCAAGTTTGCCAAATGACAAACTTGTTTTGAGAAAAACAAAAAGTCCTGGATATTTTTGCACCGATGCAGACAAAACTGGATTCATAAACCAGATAGTGTAAAATTTGCACAGATGATCAATGTAATGTAATTAATGTGGTTAATCTATGTAAAATAAACGTGAAGCATTTTCTTTCTCATTTATCATATTGATTTACGTAAAACTTCTTATTGCTATGTTTCTCTTAAACTACATTTATGTTTAGGGATGTTTCTTTTTACATGCTCTTTCTTTCATAAATCCTCTATATCCATTGTAGCCTGACGTGTTTTCTGAGGTCTGACGTTCCTATTTTAGAAGTATGCTAAGCTTAAAAAATAGTTCCTCTAAATGTTCACCTAATATAAATGATTTAGAGTAGGTTGTTTTGTTTTTTTTCAAAGGACAGTTTTGCATTTTACTTTCTTTATTACGCCTTGACTGCACCTGGCAACTTCACTTAAGAACAGGTTTTTCCACTTGTGCTTGTTTGTCTGATGGGTGTCTTTTCTTGTCACTTATTAAGAGATTACAAAAAATACTATAGAGGTTTCTTTTACATCAAATAAACTTGAATGCCCAAAAAAATCCTTTACAAACGGTACAAGATAGGCTATAATTATGAACTTTATAGCAAGTGTTGATGAATTGACCTTAATGCTCCACTGCTGGTTTGGATTAAACAACTTTACTGTCAAAAGACAATGTGTTGGTGGCTTAAGAAACCCATTTGAAGGGGATAAAAATATTTGAATGAAAGAGTAAAATTGCTTAATGAAAGGAACATGCTGTTACTTGTAAATACAGTATTCAAACTTTCCCCCCTCTCTCCCACTCAACAGGTGGGGGCCACTAAAGTGGTGTTCAAACCAATTCTGTGGAAAAACCAAAGTAAAACAATTGTGCCAACACATGAGATAAGGCAGTGAGTCACACATTAAACACATTAAACTTGGCTGTTTCTCAAGGCAAGACAGACAAGTTTAAACATAGCATACTTAGGTTGGAAAAAAAAGGAAAAAAAATCAAAGAGCTAAAACTTGGAAGTAAAAACTCCCCAGGGCAGAATAAATATAGAGTCCTGAACTGAGTTAAGTTCATATTTTAATAACGTCAAGGCTCAGCATGTCTTAAGATGTCCTACATTAGATGAAAGAGTTTGGATCAAGATGGTGTAATCTCTGTTCACTGTTAAAAGTGCACGGTGCTATAGAAGATAACAAGCTCAAGTTCTGCTTTATCGCAAATTTAAATCTTGCCATTACTGTCACAATGCTTTGATCTGACAAGTCACTACAGTCGTGTCAGATCACAGCTATGTTTTGCTTCTGAAAGCACAAAGTGACTGTAACTGAAAGTTTTTGATTTAAGATACTGGAAAACATGCATGGTGCATTTTAGATGTGTTAATATTTGTAGATATTGCCACTGGTACAGCCTGGAGAAGTTTCAGTCCATCACAAGACTAAAACAAACAGTCATACACACACAGACTCACCCCTTCAGTGAAACTCTACGACAATCATACAGTACATGCTTTTAGACTGAGAAGATTCTCACAAGACACAAAACACATTCAGACTCCACACAAAATGGATCTAGCTTTTTGCAGTGACAATGAAAACCATTATTTTATTAAAAAAGACAAAACTGAGTTTTTATACTAACACAAAGTACTATGTGATTATTATTTTAGTTTTTTGCAAAGTGTAATCTGTATTAAAGTTTTAAGTCAAGACAAGTCACTCTTTAATTTGTTTGTCACCATGAAAGGAGCATTAAACTTGGCTAAATGCAAGCCTTAAACTGGAACAGTATGTGGTTAGGACAGATCGTATTTAACAGGTTGACAAGAGGTCAGTACATCCAAAAAAAAACTCTTCAAATCCATTAACCAAACTGTTCTGTGTTTGTATTCACCTTTACAAAAAGCTGCAGTAGTTCAGTGTTTTCTTTAAAAGCCATTTTCATCCTTTTCACACGACTCGGCCTCATGACGTCAGAAACACATCCAGAATTGTTGACACTAAATGTTGTGTTTTCAATAAGCAAAGAGACACTGATCCAGCCTGATAGCATTGTTTTTATAATTCACACACCCTGCTTGTTCTTATGAACCACCCAGTTTGCAGTACAAAAACATGTAAAAACAGTGAAACAAAAAGAATTGGGTAAATACAAGCATTGTGTGGGGCTTTATGGTCAACAGGCCCTTTTTGCTGTTTATATGAAGGTTCCAAAAGTAGATTGGAAACTGTCACATATACTTAACATTTTGACATTCAAAGTTTGCAGAGTGCATATTTTAGCAAATCTCAAACTAAAAATCTCTAAAAAATAATAAAAATAAAACATATTTTAGACAAGTCCAAAGTTGCTTATAAGCAAAAAAAAATAATAATGAAAAGATTTGATCTTTTTTTTTGAATCTGCAAAGTTAACCATTGTTCCACCACATCACAAACAACCAATATGTACAATTTGTTGAAATCATTCTTTTTAGTTACTGATTGTTTAACTTTATCCAGTGAGATTTAAGTCTCACCCTAACTGTTTCATATGTTTGGTTTATTGTGTACGTGCCTCCATGGCAGTTCGTCCGTCACTCTGATGAGGTGATCGTGGGTGGATTGTCAGCAGGCGTATTCAGTTGGTTTTATTGTTCGGTTGTCAGACTTTTTTTGTTGTTGTTGTTGCACTGTTTATATGTGTGCGTGTTTAGGCGCCCTGTCACACTAGACAACTTGTGCCAACTTATGAACATTTTAAAGACATCTACATTGAAGGTGGAAATGAATAAAAATCAACAGGAAGCTTCTTTTCGGCATGTACATAACAGGGGTGGGAATCTTTTACTCTTTCACGATTCGATTCGATTCTGATTTTTGGGGCCACGATTCGATTCAAAATCGATATGTCATTCAAAACTGATAATGTGAGCCCATTTGCCATGTTCCCAAAGTGCTTCATCTGCATTTTGCAAACCTCGCACACTTCGCTCATGTCAAACTCAGACTCATTCAGTAAAAAACAAAATGAGCCCAAATCTTAACATTCAATGAAGACAGGTCCAGTTGAATCTCTCTCTCCTCCAGTTTTGTAGTTTCCTCTTTGTTTTGGTGCTTTCTGCGCATTCACATGTTCCAGAAGCAGCTGCGTGATGATGTCAGGACATCCCATGTAGTTACAAAATGGAGGCTGACAGCCACTGGATATACTTTATGTTTGTTTTCTTTATATAAAATCGATTTAGGGACATTTTAAATTGATTCTGAATCTTTGTAAATGAGAATCACGATTCTGATGTAAAACCATTTTTGGTGCACCCCTACTACATAATGTAATTCGAACAAATTGATCAAATTTATAACTTTTCTTAGCAATTTAGACATAAAAAAAATGTTTCTTAAGTTGGCATAATTTGTCTAGTGTGACAGGGCCTTAACTGGGTGGCCACTTTGTCCAAAACCTCCCAGTTTACCTGCTTATTTCATACTGAGCTTGACGGAGCCGTTTGCATCTCTCTCAAGGAGGTGTTTTCAAGTTTTGCCTTGACTCAGTTAATCTATACCATGGGCAACAGTCTGCTGACATTATCACTTGTGCACAATAATTGCTTTCACCCGCCTGGAACCACCACAAGGGTGACGGATCCAAACACTGGAAATAAAGACACATTTGGCCAAAGCTGAATCTTTGAGAAGCGCTTAAAGCTGCACCTGTGTAGATGGGGCTTTAGGCTGGTTCTCCTTAAAACTCTCTTTTTACAAAAAAAGATTGCATAGGTACTTATGAACTTTATATTTCACAAACCAAAAAAATACCCACAGTCCTTCTGTTACAGTAAATGTCAAAATAATACTCTCCTGGCAAAACCACCAAGCTTGAAATATTGCTCTTTTAAGTGATACTTAAACCTTATGCCTTAGAAAAATAGAAAAGCAAATACATCCAGTTACTAAGAAAATCCAGCCTTTTAGAATCACCAGAGCGTGACATGCTGTACAGAAAGCATGTTTCATGGATAGGTGCAACTATGCAATACCTGGCTTGAAAGATGTGACATGTTCAAGTCCATAGTTTACAAAATACATAGGTAGAAAATCCAACTAGAGTCCACTTAAAGCAGTCCACAACTGTAATCAGAAACTAGGAAGGAAGAGTTTACATCAAAATTTCCATCCAAGCAGTGCCTTTTACATCTGTATGTTTTGGGAGTTCTTAGAGATCTCTCCCAAGTTCTTGAATTTTGGCCCAAGATCATCCAAAAAGTGCAGATCGTCATCCTGGTTGTTGATCGACAGCTGGTCCAGTGATTGGCATCTGCTGCCCTCGCCCTCATAGCCATAGATGACAGGGTTGTATTCCATGAAACTCGGGTCATCTTCATTTATTGTGTAAACTCTCTGAAGGATATAAGAATTTAAAAAGTCGCTTTTTTTCCTGTTTGAAAGAAAAGTGTTGTAATACTAATTGTCCAGTTTAAACTCATTGCTTATTGCCTCTTACCTGATTGATTTGACCTCCGAGGCGCCTGTTATCTGACCATGAGCTCATAGAATGTTTGTAGATTGACTTCTGTTTGCAGGAAGAAATAATGTGAAATTATATGACCTTAGTGTATTGGAAATTTCTGAGCACACAGGCGCTAACTTATCATGCATTTTTTATTTTTATTTTTTTGTTTAGTATAGACTTTTAATGTCAATGGAAGTGCTGCTTACTTGAACTGTTTGCCTCCTGTTGGAATTCCAGGATGCACTCTGAACAAAGGAAACAAAAGTACAGTTTTGTCTTAAACAAATCTGAGAGACACATTAGCCATGGCATGCTAACTTTCTTTTAACGCAGGAATATTTTCTCACTCGCAGATATACTGTGGTTGGTCATGAAAACCCTTTTCTTTGTGTTAATTTGTCTTTTCTGTTGGAACAGTTTCCTAATAATGAATTGATATTTTTAGGACACTTAAAGATGCTGGGTGATGGTAAGCTAGAATGTTGCCACAGCTGGGGCACACTGACAGAGTCAGGGCTGCCATGCACTGGTGCCACTGGACCCTCTGACCACCACTGGTAGACGAGGAGGGTGAAGTGTCTTGCCCAAGGACATAACGACTGAGACAGATGGAATGGGGCATTAAACCAGCAACCTACGAGTTACAGGACAACTCCTCTAACCAGTCCATCACAGCCACCCAAGTTCTTGGTTGGTTCTTAAAAACCAACATGTATTTTAACGAAACTTTCAGAAAACATTTTAGCCTGATTAAAGTTGGCTACAACAGCTCAGCCTCAGGAAACAAAAAAGATTATGTTAATTTTACCAATATTAAGATAAAACTTGCAAGGAGGACTAGTTATATTTATTACTTATTTTTTCTGTGTGCACCTTATTCATGAAAAGGCTAAATAAAAAGAAATAAAATGAACTCTTCATTATTACACATTTGAATACAGTGAAAGTGAGTGCATGCTTTAAATTCATGCAGTTTAACATAAATCCAGAAAAAAACAATTAATAGGCAATGCATGTTTTGATTAATAAACTGTATCACTATTTTAATTTATAGTAAATAATCAGAAAATAAATTTTTATTCTATTTTATAAAAACGTTGGTAAATGTGTGAGCTGAAAAGCATGTGTGTATGTGTTGCCAAAAATGATAAAAGCAAGCAGAAAAAATCAGAAGCATATCCAAAAACACAATTGAAATTCAGGTTTCAGCACCATCTTGTGGATTTAGACCAGCAGTGTGTCAGCTTAACACAATTACATTGCAATAAAGCTTCATAAATGCCACAACAAAACACAAATCTACAAAAAAGGTCAAAAGAGGCTGGAAACAGAATTATACTGTTATATTCACTCACTCTGGATGGCCCCTCATAACTTCTACGAGACCCTCTCTGTTGCCCCAAGCTTGTTGTCTGCATGTTATACTGTTGGCATAACAAAAAAGTAGGGGTAAATCAGAGAAATATCTTTCTGAGAAATATTCATGTTTCATACAATTCAACCGTTGGCCAAATCATAATTCTAAAGCAAACACTACGTATGTAATTCTTTTGTTGTTGCTGTTCGTTTTCACTTAGATTGATTTAAAAACAGGTTACTTACAATATTGTGTACTGAGTTGTACGTGTCCACAGTGCTGAACATCCCCGGGGCCAACTCAGTTTGCTAGTTGAGCAAAACAAAATCGTAAATCATACAGTCAAACTCGCATCATTTAAAAGAGTTAAAAGGTATGACATGGGAAATTACACCTTTAAAAATACATGCTTGTTTTTGAATCACACCCTGTTATTATATTCAAATATAAGCCTATTAGAAAATACTGAAATTGCATGTAATCATCCCAGTGACTTTTTATCTGTACAGATACACACTTGTGTCTTACATTTAAACTCTTCTCTTGCACGTTATGCCTAAATGTGGTAAATGTATACATGGGAAAACTCATTTTATGCCATGCTACTCTAAACTTCATTTTTAAACCACCCTTTATATATCTGACTTCCTTTCTATTTATTTACAACAGCCAGAGCTTACATTTAATATCTCTATCATTTGGAAAGCCAAATAAAAGCATACAACTGATTGGAAATTTTCATTCATTAGTTCATAAAATGCAAGATTTCTTCACAAAAGGTGACCAGTCCTGCTTATGGGTAGTTTTTTTAGTGTGCTCTCTTTGAATAGCAAATATGAAAAGGATGAATGAGCATAAAAAATGCAGTAATTACCTGCACAAAGCCCTGCTTGATGCCATCTGTCACATTTATATCAGTGGTTGGTGTCAGGAGAAGAGGAGGTTCAGCCTGATAGAGAATACAAAAAAAAAGGACAAAAAATAATAAAATAAACACTGATGTACTTGATAGAGGGATGTTTTACTTAATTTGCACAACTACATCACAAGTAACATACCATACAAGTAGCACCCCCTCCTTCTTGGTTGTACTTGATGAGCGTCTGGTTGCCCTCATCGTTCTCCATATATTTAAATGTCTTCTTTCCAGCCCAACACCCAATAGCGAGCAAAAGCACTGCCGGCACATCCAGTTACAACAAAGAAACAGTTTACATACTGTATATTACATAAACACAACTTAATTTGTTTTTTTTTCTAGATTTTATTTTTTACCCATCAAACCTTATTCAAACATTAATGTGTATTAATGTGGTGTTAATGTGTATAAACTATTTTTTGGTCATTTTTTTAAATACCCATTTATCTTGTTTAAATTCTGTGTTGAATAAGGTACTCTTATTTCTTGCTGCATAAAAGTTGTGTGACACATTTTGGAGAACATTTTCTCATTATGTGAGAATACTGCATTGCATTGTAAAATGTATTTTTTTCTGTTTAAGTAAATATTTTTTGGCTGAGTGATTAGGCAGCAGGTACATTAATGTGATTGAAATATCATCTAAATTTATTATTATTATTATTATTATTATTATTAATATTATTATTAACATTTACTTAATCGGGCAAATCTCATTAAGATCACAGATCTCTTTTGCAAGGGACGTCTGTGCCTGAATGCAACCTATTGGACAAGATTTTGATCTGTGGGGGAAAACGGAGTAGCCGGGGTATATTCACGCAAGCACAAACTCCACACAGAAAAAGGTCCAGGAGCTTTTTGGTGTAGTGCATCAGTGCTAACCCACTGAGCCATCATGCTGACAATACAGTATAATACACTATATATAAATATTTATGATATAAATATTTTTTCTCATAGGAAAAAGTACAGAACTATCCCACTTCCAATCATTTTCTAGATTTTACGTCTGTCTAACAATCCTCATACTCACACAAAAACAAAAGCAATCCAGCAACAATGAGTCCAATGCCTGCTCCAGACATGTTAGTTGTGAGTGGCATTTCTTTACGGCAAACATCACCGTCATCACAGTCGCACAAAATCACTTCCAGAGTCTGATGTCCAATCATGTTCTGTTTATCTTCAATCACCAGCGGCACAGAGTAGTTACCATAGGGCAGTGTTGTCCGGCTAACAAGGCCACACACTTCACCTGTTTTATATAAAAAGAGAAGTATCCAGTGGCTGTTAGATTTTTTTTAAACCAAAAAGAATTTCAAAATGTTGAGTTATGGACCAACCGTGAGCAGGTTCTAATTTCCAGCGTTGATTCACAGTTTCATCTTTCTCCAAGTTAAAACTGAAGGGGCCACTAAACGGCTCAGCGTCAGCATCCCTAACAGGGACCATGATCTTGTTGACTCTGTTTCCACACATGATCATGGTCTTGTTGACCAGTGTGGGAGTGTTGTCATTGATGTCTCTGAGGTGCACCTTGACAGTGCATGTACTTGTGGCAGCAGGTACTCCTTGGAAACCGCAGCAAGAGGAAAAATCAATTAGTTCAAGTCATTTGTTAAAATACCGTATACTGTAAATTAAAGTCATCTCATACCATCATCAATTGCAGCAATGACAATTTTGTAAACATTGTCCTCATCGACAAAAGGGGACTCTCGATCCATCTTTTGGATTGTTTTGATTTCTCCTGTTTTTTCATCAATAGACACCCAGTGAGCTGGATCATCTACCAGGATAAACCTGGTCAAAGTTGGAAAAATCAAAAAATTAAACAGTTGACAGTTCATACATTCAGGAGACAAAGGTCAAAACAAGTTGAATGGCACAAAACGTTCGTGAAAGTTTTTGGTTACACACAGATGCTACAGTGAACACTTTTCATACTGACTTAAACGTTTTAGATTTAAAACCTTTTCATTGTGTTTCTTTTCATAATAAAAGCTGTTTCAAAAACATTACATGCAATGCCAGAATTAGCTTTATTTTGTAACAAAGTATAGAACAAATTTAACTCATTGTAACTGCATGGTTGACTTTTGCCACCACATTGCTGTATTTAAACCTTTGAAAACTTTTTGTTGCTGCTTTATTCTCATTTACTCATTTCATTGAATAATTTATACAAAACACTGGTTATATTATTTTTTGCTGATGTCCAGAAATGACTTGATAAATTGATAAATATGAATAAAATATTTTCACATAACATTGCTAGGCCTTTTAGGGATCATATATTAGTTCAATAATATGCATTTTAACCATAAAATAAACATTAGGATTTTTTAGAAAATGGGGTTGACTCCTCAGTTGAGTTGCCAGTTTTTGGATGTAAGCAACCTATCTCAAGTTGCTGATTTCTCGTTTTGTAAATACACAAATAATCGCCACTTGTCCAAATTTTTCGTTTAAAAATTGTTTTTTTCAATAGTTCTGCCAAATATACAAACGGCCAAACAAACAGACTTTACTACTTTCTTTCTTGTTCACAGACATGCAATATATTGAGACCATACCTGAATGTGGGAGAGTCGATATCCTTAACAATTGGTTTGTACAGCACTTGGCCTGGCTCCGATTCCTCCGTCTGGTACACATCATCTGAATATTTTTCAAACTCTGGTGCATCATTGGTGTCATTCATTGTCACTGTGATATTGACTGAATCTTGAGGTGGAAGATTCTTTGGCTCTTTGATCAGTTTATTGTCTTTACAAATAGTTAACGGTTCAATATTTTCAACACCAATTTTCAAGTTTACCAAAGTGGTTACGGCAAAATTCTTTTCCTGTACAAAACAAAACGTTGAGATCAGTACAAGTGCAACTGCTGTTGGAATTTAACTTGTGTGATGTTTTCTGTCAGCTAGATAGTAGTTGTTACCTTCACAATGCTCAGCACACCCTCGTTTGTTTTTGGGTCAGTTTTAATGCTGTAGATTCCTTCCTCGTTGCCGCTGATGAAGTAGTACTTGGCACGCCAGCCGTTTGTGTTTGGAGTGTCTTTGTCCTCCACTGAAACTCTCATAAGATCATCATAGGTGGTCATTTCCATAGCATTAACTTGGTACTAAAGGACAGAAAAGTTGCACACATTAATTTTATTATCAAAAAATGAAAAGTAATGATATTATATCAATACTTGCCTCCCTCTGCTTGAATGTTGGTTGATGACTGTTTTTGTCAATAACAAAGAGATTAATAACAGCAGTGCTGTTAAGGGGTGGCTTTCCTAGATCATATGCCATAACGTGAATTTTATACATGTTTGCTTTCTGAAACATAAAAATGTTATACTTTAGGTACAGTGTATTATTGACATGGGGTTTGCATGTCAACAACTTTTAATTAGTTTGGATTAAACAAATAATTGTGTCTTACACTGTAATCAAAGCATCCTTTAAATTTGAGTCGAGCCATTCTGTCATCAATCTGATGTGCTACAATTTGGGGAGATGATGGCTCTTGCTTAGTCACGTTGATCTTAACTGTTGAATTAATTGTGTTTTCCTGATCGAAGTCTACAGCCTCAATAGATGCAGCCAGGTAGCCTTTCAGAAGGTGAACAAAGGAAACCAAGAAAATTACACAAAAACACAAGTATGTGACTGTAGGCAACAGTGAAAAAGATCATGTCCGGGTATGATTATTTACTTAAATCAAGGATTAAACTTTATGATTTAATGGGAATTCTACCCCATTCAAACGGTGGTTTTTAAATGGAGTGGCCGTGCAGGGGTCACTGAAACTTTTGGGGTGGCACACCAGAACCAAAAACCCTAAAATAATTTATTTCAGGAGATTAGTTTTGTTGTTGACATGTAAAGTTTTCTTTTTGTTTTTAGAAAAAACAGTTATGGAATTATCAATTTTATAGGAGTGGGTGACCATTGTCCTGCCCCCATTAGTGGCGCCCTATTTTCAAAATCTAAAATTACTGCAAAAAAGCTTTTGTTCCTTGAATATTTGATTTAATCCCACTGGCAACAATTGTTGCCAGACATTTTTGTTTTCTGTTTGAAAGCTCTAAAAGTGTTATTTTGGATTTGGGCAGCTAATTTAAGTTTTACAACACAATTATAGGCTGTTTACTCTTAGCCATATCAATTTCATGTTGTTAGTGTGAATGGTCATGTGACCACACCCCTTGACTTCCTTCCTGCCCTGCTGGAGGGAAAAGTCTACCTCAAACTGGTAATAAAGGGATTGAGTAAAATACCTTAATAAACAGATATAACTGAAATATTTTGTAGATATATTCTTTAAAGAGTCTTCTGTTGAGATATAGTGAGAATTTTATGTCTGCATGCATCTTTTGATCGTGAGGAGAGTGAATGTAAGCATGGCAACAATTGTTGCCACTGTCATAACACACAGACAGAGCTATGCTAGCTGTCAAAGGTTTGGCTGTTTATTCTGTTTATTTTATGGGTTTTTCCCACTCAGCTTAAAACTATCAGATGTTTTATGTCTTTTAGACCTAAAATACCCCCAAAATGATGTGTGCTACATCAGGGGTTCCCAAACTTTTCCATGCTGTGGCCCCCCAATCAGCATTAGCGTTTGGTCAGTAACCCCCTTTGCAAACCCATAAACAATGCTGCAAAATATGTAAAATGTTAAAATGTTTTGAAATCAGTTTTAATAATTTTTTTATTTGTTTAGCATAAGAGTTTTATTAACTTACATGTTTTGAACACTATCCCACTGAAAAAACAGCTGTTGACAATAAGAACAAACTGCTCTCCTAAATGAAGTTTCAATAAATTATATTTTCAAATGATGATTGAAAAACAAATTCAAATTTATTATAATAATTTAAAACATTCATTAGATTAAAATTACAGATTTTTGTCCTTTTCCCCCTTTTTTCCCCTCCAGCTTTCTGAGGACCCTGTAATGCTCCCTGGCGACCCCTCAGGGGCCCGTGACCCCCACTTTGAAAAGCACTGTGCTACATCACAGTCATTGTTGAACTTGTACCCATGCCTTGTTATAATATGTTATGCATGATACTGTTATTTTTATTTTTATGTGTGTAATAGGTCAGAATAAAGGATTTGTGTCAATGTAGATGCTGTTTCCCACCGGCAACAATTATTGCCAGGTACAAAACCTACATTTTCACTAACATAATCGACATAAAATGATAAAAAAATGTGTTAGGGAGGTCTAAGAAATGAAATGTATTAATTTATTTTGCAGGGAAAAAAATGGGATTAAATGGATTAAGTGACAGCAAACAGAAAATCTGCACACAATTAAAATACAATAAATGGTAAATTATTTACCATATTTACTACAATTAAAATATTTACAATAATGTATACTTACCCTCCTCTGCATTCTCCATCACAGCGGCTTTTTGCTTTAAATTGACAAATCTAGGTGGGTTGTCATTTATGTCCTTTATATCGACATCAAAAGCTAGGTTCTTGTCAAGTCCTTGTCCGGTTTCTGGGTTCAAAACATCAAAAGTGATCTGTGGATTAAAGTACTCAAGTAAAACATTTTCAGTGACTATATATTGTATTGTTTAATAATTAGCATAATGGATAATCCCAGGCAGGCTCACATGATATGTTGACTTTTTCTCTCTGTCAATTGGTTGGTGCACAAACACGTCTCCAGATTTTTTATCAATAGAGAACAATCCTTCGTCTACACCATCGCCACTTATCACAAATTCATATGCTTTCCCTTCAGTCTTGTCATTATACATCTAAAAGAGAAATATATATCTTACATGAGTATTTAATATGAGAAAAACATTAAGCTGTTTTTGTATGAAAAAAGAAAAAACAGCGACTTTACCGTAGAAATTTTGTATGGATATGTCACTTTCATTTCCTCCTCTAACTCAATTGTGGACAGGACCCATCTTCTTTTGGAGCGCAACAAGTGTCCCTAATATTCAAATAAAAACCAAACCATTGCTTCAATTTCCCTTTGGTGGAAAATGCAAGAGTTATTTTATAAATAATAAACATTTACCTGTTTACCATGACTTTCTCCAACGGCTGCTAATGCAACCTGCATGCAACAGAAAAACAAGACCGTAAAGTGCATACAATGGAGTATGTGCTGTAACATCTGATTCACTGCTCCTTTATACTTATTTTCCTTATAGGGCAGAATTTACTGCTGTTTTTGTCCACAATATTTTATTTGCTGCTACGACCGTTTTTTATTTCTCAGTATGCAAGTCTACATGTTTGTCCTGTAGCCTTCATGTTTCAGTCTTTGGTCCTTTTTAAAACCACTTTGCATTTTATTGAAAAGCAGAAAAATGTTGTAGAGCCAGGAATTATTTCATAAACATAGATTTCGTTGCATGGAAGGCTTGGCTAAAATTTTCTGCTTTTAACATTGTACAGTGGTTTGCAAAAGTATTCATACCCCTTGAACTTTTCCATATTTTGTCACATTACAACCACAAACATAAATATATTTCACTGGAATTTAATGTGAAAGACCAACACAAAGTGGTATACAATTGTGAAGTGGAAGCAAAATTTTACATGAATCAAAACATTTTTTACAAATAAAAAACTGAAAAGTGTGACGTGCAAAAGTATTCAGCCCCCTTTTCCCTGAGTGCAACCAATTGCATTCAGAAGTTGCCTGATGACTGCTAATGACTCAAAAGGGTCCACCTGTGTGTAATCTAATCTCAGTACAAATACAGCTGCTCCGTGACGGCCTCAGATGTAGGTTAAGAGAATATTGGGGAGCAAACAGCATCATGAAGTCCAAAGAACACACCAGACAGGTTAGGAATATGGTTTTGGAGAAGTTTAAAGCAGGCTTAGGTTATAAAAAGATTTCCCAAGCTTTGAACATCTCACGGAGCACTGTTCAATCCATCATCCGGAAATGGAAAGAGTATGGCACCACAGTAAACTTGCCAAGACAAGGCCGTCCACCTAAACTTACAGGCCGAACAAGGAGATCACTGATCAGAGAGGCAGCCAAGAGGCCCATGGTGACTCTGGATGAAATGCAGAGAGCCACAGCTCAGGTGGGGGAAACTGTCCACAGGACAACAATTAGTCGTGCACTACACAAATGTGGTCTTTATGGAAGAGTGGCAAGGAGAAAGCCATTGTTAAAAGAAAACCATAAGAAGTCCCGTTTGCAGTTTGCCAGAAGCCATGTTGAGGACACAGCAAACATGTGGAAGAAGGTGCTTTGGTCAGACGAGACCAAAATTGAACTTTTTGGCCACAATGCAAAACGCTATGTGTGGCGGAGAAAGAACACTGCACATCACTCTGAAAACACCATCCCCACTGTCAAATATGGTGGTGGCAGCATCATGCTCTGGGGGTGCTTCTCTTCAGCAGGGACCGGGAAGTTGGTCAAAGTTGATGGGAAGATGGATGGAGCCAAATACAGGGCAATCTTGGAAGAAAACCTGTTGGAGTCAGCAAAAGATTTGAGACTGGGGCGGAGGTTCACCTTCCAGCAGGACAACGACCCTAAACATAAAGCCAAAGCTACAATGGAGTGGTTTAAAAAAAAGAATATTCATGTGTTAGAATGGCCCAGTCAAAGACCAGACCTAAACCCAATTGAGAATTTGTGGCAAGATCTCAAAACTGCTGTTCACAAACGCTCTCCATCCAATCTGACTGAGCTTGAGCTGTTTTGCAAGGAGGAATGGGCAAGAATTGCAGTCACTAGATGTGCAAAGCTGGTGGAGACATACCCTAAAAGACTTGCAGCTGTAATTGCAGCAAAAGGTGGCTCCACAAAGTATTGACTCAGGGGGGCTGAATAATTTTGCACATCGCACTTTTCAGTTTTTTATTTGTAAAAAATGTTTTGATTCATGTAAAATTTTGCTTCCACTTCACAATTGTATACCACTTTGTGTTGGTCTTTCACATTAAATTCCAGTGAAATATATTTATGTTTGTGGTTGTAATGTGACAAAATATGGAAAAGTTCAAGGGGTATGAATACTTTTGCAAACCACTGTATATGTACGGAAAGATTACATAATATAGGCATATATATATATATATATATATATTAGATTAGATTAGATTTAACAAAAATCCCAGCAAATGCTTTATATTTCTTAGTTAAAATAGAAATTGTGATACATTTTCAACAAAAACATTAGTTTAGCCAAAACTGATATGTCAGTTTAAACAAACATGAGCAGACCCTAGTTGACAAAGTTTGACACTTTAAAAATATGTTTGTGTTTTATACAAAATTGATTATAAATACAGTAATCCAAAAGGAAAAAAAAAGGTTAAAGAACAAAGGCAGCTGGACTTCTATTGTGAAGTGGAAAACATCTTGTTTTCCATTTGGGGGCTCTCTCAACTCCAGTTATCTTTTTTAACTTTCTGTTTATGACTGAACATGACCTGAATGACAGAGTCTTCACCAATAAATATTGTATAGATGACAAAAAGGCATGTTTTTTAACTCCTAAAAAGCAAATGCATAAAAGGGCCGTGAGAAAATCACAAAACTGATACTGAAGCTCCCATTTAAGTTCCCAAGACTCCAATATAAAAACTGAGATAGAAAGTTTATGTTCAATTTTTATTTTCAACTTTTGTCTTTTTTTTTTTGTTACGTCTTTGTCAAAGACTCAAATCAACTTCATTTAAATGAAATTTCCCCATTTCAAAATCTGAATGCAAAGTTTTGTCAGTGTGAGTTAGAAAATAGAGGCCAAGAGCTGGATTAAACGCTGTCGTCCAACTACAGCAACACTAAGATGAAAAGCACAGACTGGGGTGGCTCTTCAACATCTTTTGGTTTGTCACATTGAAGAAGTGAAGACGACAAACAGGGATGTCTTTTTTTTCTTTTTTATTTATTTATTTTGCTTTAGGTCTCTATTTAGGAAAGGCCATTTTCTTAAATCTTTGTTCACAAAAATTCCAAGACTTGAACCCACTTCATTACCACACAAACACACTTGCGTCCTACTCTGCCTGAGGCTAAATGTCAACGAGACAATTAAGAAATGCCTTTGTAATTAAATATCCACAAACGTGACACATTTACATTTGCGTAGTAAATTACTGAAAACACAGGAAAATAGAAAGTTACAAAGCAAATGCTTGGGTATAATCATAGAGGAGTAGTATGACAAAATAACTTACATATTTGAGATTCCTAAGCTGCATCTATTTTCACAACAGGAAGGTTTCTTTTATAACCAAGTCTGTTTCAGAAACCATTTAAGATGCATCCTTCTTTAAAGGTGATGAGTTTTATTCATATAGATTGTGGACAGAGAATAAAGGTTCTCAGATTAGGTGTCTATGCGACCATTTGGAAATACTTTTGTTAGTGTTATTTTTTTACAGAAAGGAACCGGCTTTTTTATAATTCAAGTGAAACCTCTTGAAACATGATGCCTTGTCACTTGTGTGCTTATTATTCAAAACACTTTAGCAATATAGAAAGCTGTAAAACAAATACTTAGATAAAACCACAAGTGATTGCTACAGATAACTAAAGTACATGAAATTCTAAAGAAGACACAAGGTTTATACGCACAATATAGAAACTAAAATATGCACGCTTCCGTTTGTGTGAAACAGTTTGTGTCAGTGAGATTTCTATTCCTCAACATATTTTTTTTAATAATAGGAAGAACAGACTAGTTTTACATTTATCTCTGCTCCAACAACCTAAAGAATGAACATCTTAAAAAATAATTGTAATGCCTACCAGCAGAAACAGAAAAATTATCCCCATCGTGGCCCTGTCTGCTTGGTATCCACTACAGGAACAATCTGGCAGAGCTGGAGATAATTTCACTAAGATCCAGGAGAGGGAGGCTACGCCCACAAAACGCCTGCAGGTGACTGATTGGCTGCTTGGGTAAGACACAAAGAATTATTTGTTCATGCACAAGTCTGTTACAGACAATATTTGCACATACACCTTGTTATCTAAAGCGAGACCATGATGTTGTGCTTTAAATATGCTTTATTGTGGGTTTGTAAATGTACTTTTTTGGGAGTGACTTTTTATTAACTGAACGTGCTGAACATGGCACAGCACAGGTGTGCACCCCTGAGGGTCTTCATGCCTTTATGTTGAGGTTACATTGCAGGCATGAAGCTAAAACTCAAAATCTTAGCTTAGACAAAATTACAGAAAGTATATTCTAAGTTATCTGGTATCAAACTATCTCTTTTCCCAAAGTCAGCTATCTGCCACTTGCATTTAGCACATTCTGTTCTTTTTTACGTACACGTCATAAAGCCAGAGGTTTGCAGTTCTGGAGCTGACTGTTCCGGAGCGCATTTACAGAAAGGAATAACTGGTTTGAGCCAATGTCTAATATCATAAAATAAGTGAACAGAATATCATAGCACAAAACTTTGTAAAAAAAAAGTGAGAAGAAATTATATTAAACAAATTTTTGTTTCATGAAAGTTTTTGGCAACCGATGTGTTTTTCAAAAATGTGGCCAAGTGTGACTGTCAAGTTTTCTCTAGAGTGTTTTAGGACACGTTTAACTGATGAGTGAGTCATTTTTTTTTTACCATTTTGTCAGTTCAGTCTCTATTTAAAGTTTGCATGAGAATGAACAGTTTGGTACAGAAGTGAAGTTTTATGCAGTAGTTGGGAATTGCAAGTTTGTGAGGCATCAAAATACGTCATGTCTAAAGTTAATGAGAGTATTAACATTTAATACCGGCTTCCAAAAGAAATGAAAAAAGTAAATAAAAGCTTTTTTGAGACAAGCCCTAAATAAAGTAATAGCAAACTAACATTTGTATTCAGTCTTTTTAGATCAGGCTGTAAATATATACAGCAGGTAAAATAAGTATTGAACACGTCACCATTTTTCTCAGTAAATATATTACTAGAGGTGCTAATGACATGAAATTTTCACCAGATGTTGGTAACAACCCAAGTGATCCATACATACAAAGAAATCAAACCATAAATGTCCAGAAATGAAGTTATTTGTAATAATGTGGAATGGCACACGGAAAAAGTATTAAACATTCTTACTGAAATTTATCTAATACTTTGTACAAAAGCCTTTGTTGTCAATGACAGCTTCAAGACGCCTCCTGTATGGAGAAACTAGTGGCATGCATTGCTCAGGTGTGATTTTGGCCCATTCTTCCACAAACAGTCTTCAAATCTTGAAGCTTTCGTGGACCTCTTCTATGAACTCTGATCTTTAGTTCTTTCCATAGATTTTCTGTTGGATTCAGGTCAGGTGATTGGCTGGGCCATTCCAGCAGCTTTAGTTTCTTTCTCTGAAACCAACTGAGAGTTTCCTTGGCTTTGTGTTTGGGCTCATTGTCTTGCTGAAATGTCCAGCCACATTTCATCTTCATCATCCTGGTAGATGGAAGCAGATTTTCATCAAGAATGTCTCTGTACATTTTTCCATTCATCCTTCCTTCAATTATTTGAAGTTTGCCAGTACCATATGCTGAAAAACAGCCCCACACCATGATGTCCCCACCTCCAAACTTCACTGTTGGTATGGTGTTTTTGGGCTGATGTGCAGTGCCATTTGACCTCCAAACATGATGTGTATTCTGGCATCCAAACAGTTCAATGTTGGTCTCATCTGACCAGACTATATTCTCCCAGTATTACACAGGCTTGTCTAAATGTTGTGCAGCAAATTTTAAAGGAGCTTCAACATGCTGTTTCTTCAGCAGTGGAGTCTTGCGTGGTGAGTGTGCATACAGGCCATGGTGGTTCAGTGCATTACTTATTGTTTTCTTTGAAACAATCGTACCTGCTAATTCCAGGTCTTTCTGAAGCTCTCCACAAGTGGTCCTTGGCTCTTGGACAACTCTTCTGATAATTCTTTTCACTCCTCTGTCAGAAATCTTGTGAGGAGCACCTGGTCGTGGTTGGTTTATGGTGAAATAATGTTCTTTCCACTTCTGAATTATGGYCCCAACAGTGCTCACTGGAACCTTCAGAAGATTAGACTTTCTTCTGTAACCGATGCCATCATTATGCTTTGCAACAATAAGGTTGTGAAGGTCTTGAGAGAGYTCTTTACTTTTACCCATCATCAGATGTTTCTTGTGTGATACCTGGCCATCATTTGGGACTGAACCAGCTGATATTAACTTGCACTGACAAGGGGCAGGCTTGCTTTCTAATTACTAAGAGAGTTCAGCTGGTGTCTTGGCTTTCCATGCCTTTTTACACCTCCCTTTCTTCATGTGTTCAATACTTTTTCCCTGTGCCATTCCACATTATTACAAATAACTTCATTTCTGGACATTTATGGTTTGATTTCTTTGTATGTATGGATCACTTGGGTTGTTACCRACATCTGGTGAAAATTTCATGTCATTAGCACCTCTAGTAATATATTTACTGAGAAAAATGGTGACGTGTTCAATACTTATTTTACCCGCTGTACTATTATTTGTTTTAAAAGTGAACTGCTTGTTTTATTGCAAATTTCTCAAATAGGCTTGCTCTTTGATATTTATATTTTTAAATGGAAACTATATTTTCTTCTTTATAAAAGGCTTTTCTCCATTTATTTTAACTTTTTTTTCACGGTTTAAATCAAAGACCACACACCTCTGTCTTTCACACATGCAGTGGCCACACTGTTGGTCATCAAAAATATATCACTTTTTATAACAATTTTAATTATACAGCTATGCCAAAATGATATACATGTATTCAAACTATTGTCAGTTGTATCTGATATGTGAAAAGTAGCCATAACTAATATTGTGTGGCTCAGTTTGCAGTAGAACATTAATTACATTTTCTATTAATTAAAAACAGATGAAGTGGAACAAATTCACAGTTATGGCATAATTAGTAATAATAATTTTGTTTTGTATTATGTTTGTTAACAAGCTAATTAGGACAGTTTGGTTAATGCAAAACAGATTTTGTTGATAGACTGAAAACCTGTTCACGGTGGATGTGGCTTGTGTGTGTGGGTGTTTCATAGCTTTTAAATGTGAGATTTAATATGAGCCTAATAAAAGTCAAATATGACTAATGGTGTTTTTAGGGATCAAAGATTCTCCTTACAAAAGCAACAGTATATAGGGTTTAAACTACCTTCAGCTTTGGCTTCTATTTTCAATTAAGCCATAGTTTTCAGTCTTTTAAATAATCAAAGTTTTTGTCATTTGCAATGGCACGGGATGGGAAAAAGAGAGAGGAAATCAAAGTTGGCAGAACAAGGCAATAAATTTCTTGCTTGCGATGACTTGACTAAAGATGACACTTAATGGTGTGCAGCTGTCTCTTTTATTGCAGTTTCCAAAACGTCACATAATGTTTCAATGATGAGAAACAGTCAAAAGCATCGTACAACTTCTGTACCATCGTTCCTGAATATGTTATTATCTCTTCAGTATTTCTTCTTTTTTCTCTCAAATAAACCAAAAACCAGAAAGACGCAGTAACGCATGCAGCTGTATGCACTGCGAGTACCATGAGGTTTTCCTTTTGAGTTTAATTTGGTAACTCTGGTAGTCTAACTGGATGCAGCAGTGCTGCTGGGCCGTCTGGCCATGTGTCTGTTATCTTGGGGTGACTTTGGAGTCTGATTTTAAATTTAATAAATGGATCAGTGCAGTAGTCAAATCTAGCTTTTATTACCTGAGGCTTATAAGTATAATTAGGGATCATCGTCCTCAAAATGCATTTGAGAGGATAATTCACTTCTAGACTGGACTAATGCAACTCCATTTATTGTGGGGTTGATCAGTCTTTGGTTCATCGTTTACTAACGGGGACAAGACGACATGAACACCTCACTCCGATCTTGTATTCTCTTCACTGTCTGACTGTTTTATTTAGAATAGTTAGAAGATTTTGTTTTTGTTTTTTTTAAATGTCTAAATGGCCTGGTATCTTCTTGTCTTACTGAGCTTTTACAACCACACATATAGATCTCTAAGATCTATAAATCAAAAGCTTTTAGTTTCCAGGTCTCGACGTGTGACCAAAGGAGACAGAGCCTTTTCAGTTTCAGGTCCTGGGCTCTGGAACTATCTTCCATTGTCTGCAAGGTCTGCTGGGTCTCTACAGGATTTAAAGTCTCTTTTAAAAACTCGTTTTTGAAACAGTCGTTTGAGTCTGGAGAGCACGATCATTAGATCAGCCTTTGTTTTGTTTGATTTTATTGTTCATTCTGATGATGATGATGATGATGATGATGATGATAATAATAATGATGATATGATGATGATGATGATGATGATGATGATGATAATGATGATGATGATGATGATGCGTTTTCTCTCCTCCCGTTTCTCAAAGACAGAGATAAGGGGACATTATCTAATGGTTAAAAATTGCAGTCACTAAAAACATTTGCCCATTTTTATTA